ATTCTCCAAGTTCAATGTCCTTGTCAAAACTTCCGCTAGTGCTCTCGCTGCGCGGCGTCCCAGTTGTGCTCTTCAAACTCGACGCGAATTTCTTGAGCCCCTTGCTGGAAAACGGTGGTTTGGTCTTTGCTCCACCGATTCCTTGGAAGCCCTCAACAAAAGAGTCTTTGAAAGCTTTTGCAGTGTCTTCCTTTTGGTGGGTCAGGGTGAAACTTGGGGGTGGCGGCTCGAAGCTATCTTGGCTCTTGTTGCGGGCTTTGCGGCCGCGGGTTGCTTCTGCGACGGCAATAGCGAGGAGTGTGGATGTTACTACGTCGACGAGGAATGGGTTTCCGAATCGTGTCAAGGCACCGAAGTTGAGGATAAGCGCGTCGTTGGTGAAGTCAAGACGGGCTAGCATGGCGTCGTCTGCTGTAGCGTCGGTGGTTGTGGGGAGCTGGCCAACAGACATCTCAGATGGCGTCATGGAGGTTGGGCGAATCACGCCATCAAACCGTGGCGGAGGCGGTAGCGGCGAGAAAGCATTAGTCCTTGGCGTTGTTGGGGAAAGGACGTATGGATTCAGGACGGTGATAGCAGCGGGTTTTCGTGTTATGTTCTGTGCAGTCATGGGCATGTTGTGTCCGTAGAAAGCTGTTACAGGTCGTGTCGATGGCATGTTGATGACAGAACAATCGCCCTCAATGGATATGGGGAAAGTACCAAGCGTTGGGTGGTGCAGCTGGTATGAACCCTCTGATGGTATGTGCTGAGCCCAAGGATTTGACTGTTGTTGTGGGTGATCCCTCGTCCATGCGAGAGCACAGCATTCCCGCTGGGCACTTTCTGCAAGGACGCCTTCAGCCAATCTTTGTGCAGCCGGTGATTGGGCACCAGGGTCAGACAACGCAAGGTGAGAAGCGGACGGCGAATTAGCTGCAGCATCGAGTGCTTGAAGAGCAGCGAGTTTGGGATATATGCTAGTAAGGAAGGTTGTTTCTTCTTGTCGAGCAGGATTGAATGTTCCGTTATCCAGTGAGGGGGGTGCAATCAGATCAAGCTGGGCAATGGGCAGAACTCGCGGCTGAGTAGGATGGTGCCTCTGGATTAGGACCTCGTTCATGATACTCGGTATTTCGTGGTTGCCAGCGAGGTTCGATTGTGCCATGGAGTAGAATGGGAGAGAAGGAGTTGTTCCAAAAGTAATCGTAGGATTCGCTGCTGTTGCTCGGTGCATTCTCAATGTGTATATCTGCACGCTTGGTTCTTCCTGACCATTGGTTGCTAGCCACATGTTGTCCAGTAGATTGGAAGGCGTGAAGAAAGGCTTTGGTGGTGGGGGAGGTATCGAACTGCTTGTGTGGACATTGCTGTGTGGAACATACGATTCTGACGAGTATGGCGATCGGCTGATTTGTGTCCGTGGGATCTGGGTTGTGGGTGATGCTTGCGTGGGCTGGTACGGTTGCCGTGAAAGAGGAACAGTAGGATCGTAGACTGGGAACATCGATCGCATTGGTATCTCTTCTTGAGGTGATGCGCATCGTACTCTTGTAGCAGAGCTGTTTGCCCGTACTAGAGTCTGGGCTTCCGAGAACGCAGGAGAGACTGCACGGTTTAGATCTGGGCTGGTTGTGTATTGAAGATCGTCAATGTAGTTGTTCTGTGGGGGCGATACTGGTGAAACGATGCGGGCATCTTGTTGGCGATAGAAACTTTCTTGCCGGTCCATCTGTAATGAAGGAGCTCTTCGTTGTGAAGGCGATTCGAGATGTGATCTGCCAGCGGGAGCAGGTACCCTTGGGGCTTGAGAGTTTGGCAGGTGTGCCTGGGGTGGAGCTGGGATTGATGGTGGGGGTGCCATTTGGATGGACGGAGAGGCTGGCGGTGGATTGACCTGAATGACGAGTTCGTGGAAGTCGCTTGGAGGCTGCGTTGCCTTTGCATTCTCTGTCGATGGAGTTTCTGGAACAGAGCTTTTTACAACAGGCGACGGTTTGTTGTTTGGGCTCGGTTGTCTTGGAGCACGGGGTGGAGGGAAGAGTTGAAATGCGGGTCCTGCCATGATGAATGTCCAGCACTCTACTTTTTAAGAAAACGAGTTGGCTCGAAGTGACTGGCTCGACCAAACGGAACAGGTGCTGGCTGTGTAGAGAAACAAAGACTCGTCACAGGCGGAGTACAACTAGACGTGTCGGGTAATCTGGGGATAACGACTATAAGACGAAACACACAGCGACACCCTGTGAGCCAGCACAAAGGCCATAGGAATGCATCTAGGGCAATAGCGGTAGACTGACATTTCCCATGCAGAAAACTACCCCATGCAGCGAGAAGGCTGTCAGACGGGCCCAATCAAGAGGTGTGTAAGGCCCGGCGCTACTCATCAGTTGATGAGCGGCGGTTATATTTTGGGTGGTTGGCTGATTGTTGCTGCTAAGCGCCAGCGCTTTCCACTCGCTACACCCCCCACCACCCTAGCACGAGATCTTACCATGGCTGCACGATACTGTGATTGGCTGTTGACGTGTGCCCACCCTGCGTAGTATGGGTAGCCTATGCAGGTGACAAGAGGCCAGTCCGGCGGCCCGCTGCAAGTCGGGGATCTATTTCGAGCTCTTGATTGCCTGCCAACGGCACTTTGGCTGTCCTTGGCCGAATGCGGAGAGACATACTGTGGACGTGTATGTATGTATGTGCTGTCCTACTTGCTTTTCAGACGTGTAAAGGCGTTGGGGAAAGTAGCCCGGCACATGCAGATTCACACGTAAATTCTCAACGCGAAAGCATCTGCAGTACCGACGGACAGCAGCCATGGGAGCTGCAAATGGTACTGAGACGGTACAAGCTCTTTTTGATGGGCGGCAAGGCGAGCAAGCCCATGTCCATCGTCGGAGAGCACGCAGCCGCCCTAACATGCGGCCGGATTGGACCAAGACACAACGGCGGAGCTTATCGCAAAATCCTGCAGAGGGTACCTGTCTCTGAATAACTGATCGTCATATGTGGAGTTGCGCATTAGTGAATGCAGCACTTGGCTTTTGGGGTAGTTTGTGACGGCACCTTGCTCGTGCAGTCCGCAAACGGGCCGGGTAGTTTGCTTCTGCGAACATCCAAGACACTACAAATCAAAGTTTAGCAACAGAATCAGGTCATTTCTGGTTAAGAATAGGTCGAGGCAATATGCGATTAGATGAATGCACATGCGACTGATGACACGTGAGGGGCGAAGGAGGAGAGGGTGCAAGGCGTGCGCTAGTGTCTATCGATAACCTTAATATGTGTCTAAGCGAGAAAAAGTTGGGTGTTCGTCATCGCTCACGACAGCAGAGCAGAGAAAAGCCACAGACAGTCAGCGTCAAGATGCCGTCAGAATTAGAAGAGGTAAGTAAAGACCATATGCGGACTCGGCTCGTATCTATTCTAACACCCCTTGTCCAGCTGGTCGAGTTCCTGCACCACGGCAACACGCAGATCAGACAGACTGGTCAGAGCAGCCCCTCCACCCCGCCACGAGACGCTGCTTACACCATGCAGCGGCCGAACATCTTGTCGGATACTCGCAATCAAACCCGACCCTCTGGAAACGTAATCAGTTAGAACCCATCAAGGATCTCAAGCTCCTTGTTAAGGATTATGCGCCCATCGCGAAGAATGCCCTAACCATCCTCATCAACGTCTCCGCCGACGCAGAAGTCCAAAAGGCACTTGCAAAGGATGATGAGTTTCTTGAGACACTACTGTCACGGATAACCGTATGCCAGTTCTCCGTCCAGAAAGCGCAGACATTATTTACTGATCTGTTGTAGAACGCCAAAGAACAAAATGCGAACGAAATCGCCATGCTACTCGCCAACATGGCCAAGGACGACTCTCTACAAAGGGTGTTGGAATTGAAGCGCGACGTCCCAAAGGAGTTGTCCAAATCTGCTTGGGCAATGGACCAACTTATGGACTGCTTTGTCAAGGGTGCACAGGGCGCATACAACAAGAACGCAGACTTCGACTACCTGTCGTACTTCTTCGCCGACTTGGCTAAGTTCCCCAAGGGGCGCGAGTACCTCACCTCGCCCCAGGAACATGATGACAACGTCATTCCTATCACCAAGATTCAGGTGTTTACAGATCATGCCTCACATATCCGACGCCTCGGTGTCGCGTCGACAATCAAGAACGTCGCATTCCTCGTGCCAGCGCATCCAGTCCTACTATCGAACCTATCGCCCGATCCAAATCTACCGCCACCTTCGATAGGCGCGAACCTCCTACCCTACATTCTCCTGCCGCTCATGGGACCAGAAGAGTATGCAGATGAAGACACAGAGGGTATGCTCGACGAATTGCAGCTGCTAGAGCCCGATAAGGAACGAGAAAAGGATAATCAGATCATCAAGACACATTTGGAGACACTGCTATTGCTGAGTACCACCAAAGAAAGCAGAGAAGTCCTCAGACGTGTCAAGGTGTACCCCATTGTTCGGGAGTGTCACTTGCATGTAGACGACGAGGAAGTGCGCGAGGCATGCGACCGCGTAGTTCAAGTGATTATGCGTAAAGAGGAGGGTGAAGAGGAGGATATACCAGACATGGCGAGCGCTGGTGGTAGTGGAAAGATGATAGAAATGGGTAACGCCGAGGAAGACGAGGACGAGCAAATTATCGACATTGTCTAGGCGTACGATGACAAGTAGAATACCAAAAAGGCACCATATTCCTGCTGATCATGTCCTGTTGTGTCGACACGGTGCCTTAGCGTCCTCTATCTGATTGGTCGCGATACCGGCTATCGCAACAACGGTCTTCTAAACTCCGACTCTTCATAGATACAAATAGGTGCGCGTGCTCGCCGAAGCAATAGACCGACACCGTGCCGGGGGGTTCCGTCATTGCTTAACGGTGCATTAGTAACCCGGGAACTGCTTGCGGAAGTTTTTCGCCTTGATACCTTCTTTCTTTTTCATCACATTTCGCCTACTAGTAACTCTAATTCGCGCGCATACAGAACAAGCAAGAGCTGTGGCATGTGCGCCAAAATAAGCTCGTCATCAGATAATCCATCGAACCAACAGAGCGGGGCGGGGAGCATGGGACCGTCGACCAATAAGGCTGGTACAGCTCAGACAACGCCGATGACGACTTCAAACTTTATGTCTCGGGTAAGCGGTGGTGCGGGCACAACGAAAAGAGATGCGGTTAAAGACAAAAAAGAGCAGTTGAGAATATCGCCATGGAGAAGAGCCTGGGAAGTCGTCAATTGGACGCCGCCGAATTGCCGTTGGGATCCTAAGAAGCCACCGCAATTTTCTATGAGCAGTACGTTGTTTTTTCTATGTTTATGCATAACCATTAATCTATCTCTTTTTTTCTTTTCCTGAACTCTCGCTCAAACGACATGAGAGCCAAGAGCTGTATTATATTGCAAATCAGAACAAAACTTCTAACCTACCGTGAACTCGTTCTGACAAAACAATAGTGAACGTTCTTTTTGCCTTTGCCGCTGGCTTCACAGTCGCGAATCTCTACTACAACCATCCTATTCTCAATCTCCTTGCTAGAGACTTCGGCGTGCGGTATGAACAGGTAGCGCAGATTCCCACAGTCATGCAAGCAGGGTACGCAACTGGACTACTGTTCTTATGTCCTTTGGGGGACTTGCTTCCAAGAAGACCTTTTGTATGCGGTTTAGTAGCGTTCACAGCAACATTGTGGTATGTCTACTACCCTGCTTTTCTTACGTCACCTATAGCTAATTAACGACAAATATCCAGGTTAATCCTCTGCCTAACAAACGACCTGGGAACGTTCACCGCAATATCCTTTATCGTAGCCATCACAACCGTGACCCCTCAACTCATGCTCCCTCTGGTCGGCGACCTTGCACCACCCTCCCGCCGCGCCGCCGCCCTCTCAATCGTTGTGTCCGGCCTAATGCTCGGCGTGCTCGTCGCCCGCGTACTCTCCGGTACCATATCGAACTACACCACCTGGCGTGCAGTCTACTGGATGGCACTCGCCTTGCAATACACAATCTTCGTCTTGCTATGGCTCTTCATGCCAGACTACCCTGCTACAAACCGCGGCATGAACTACTTCCGCATCCTATTCGATATCGTCAAGATGCTGCGCAAACACCCCGTGCTTGTTCAGGCCTGTCTTACAGGCCTCTTTACCAGCGCACCGTTTACATCCTTCTGGACAACACTAACATTCCTACTTGCCGGCAAACCGTTTCACTACTCCTCCCTCACAATCGGCCTCTTCGGCCTCATTGGCATAGCCGGCATGCTCCTCTCCCCCATCTACGCACGCACAGTCACCGATCGCTTCGTCCCGCACTTTTCCGTCTTCTTCGGCCTCTCAATCTCGCTCGTCGGCGTGTGCCTAGGTACCTACATCGGCACGTTCACCGTTGCCGGCCCCGTGCTGCAGGCTCTCCTCATGGACTTCGGAAATCAGACCGCACAGATTGCAAACCGCTCGGCCATCTATAGTATAGAACCGACACGCCGAAATGGCATTAACACGGCGTTCATGGTTTCGACGTTTTGTGGGCAGCTAATCGGGACTGCCGCGGGGAATCATGTCTATGCGGCTGCGGGATGGATTGGGAGCGGGAGTTTAAGTGTCGGGTTTGTAACTGCTGCTATATGTGTTATGTTGGCCAAGGGGCCGTGGGAAGACAGGTGGGTGGGGTGGAGTGGCGGGTGGAGTATGAGGAAGAAGGATAGAGATAGTGCGGATGGAAAGACGAAGGACAAGGCGTTGCATGGACCGGTGGAGGCGGTCGATAATAAAACGGGGGCAAATGAAAAGGTACTGGATGAGATTGCTGCCGAGGAAGGTAGGGTGAATACTGTGTCAGAAGCGAGTGTGAGTACAGAAGACGATGGGATACATTCAGCAAGAAAAGATGTAGTCTAGAACAGTAATGCATCTTAAGAATTTTGATTAAAAAAACCTATATATACGATGATTCGTGCTATTGAACTTTGCATTTCCATAGTAACGTGCTTTCATCTGAGCATTTTCAGTCTGAGAAATATCGCCAACTCATCGTCTATCGCGCATTCTAATGTAAGAATTATGGCACAAAAAGAAAGCCATTTCCTCCTCTAATCGCAACGCGGCTTTTTTTTATTTTCTCTCACTAAGTGGGCTTCGGCGCATTCGCCGCGTTCATGAACGCATTGATGTGTTCGTCAGACGGCAGCTTCTCTAGAGGCGTGAGCCAGCTCTTCGCCTTATCAAAGCGAGACACCGCCTTGACGAGCTTGATGAAAACTTGCGTGTTGCTCTTATCGACACGGCCCTTGAACTTGAGAATGAGGTTCTGGATGTTCATGCCTTGGGGTGGGAGGGATTCGTAAATCTCTTTTGCGGAAGGCAGAGAGGGTTTGGATGGGCCGACGGAGGGGCTACCTGCGCGGCTACCATTTGCGGCGGGGCTGCCTGCCCGACTAGCACCAGGAGTACCGGCGGGTGATCCACCGAGCATGATGCGGTTCTTTTCCTTCTTTTCCTTCTTCCGCTTCTTGCCCGCGTCGGTCATCTCGCTGTCACTACCAGAGCCTGCGCCCTTGAGATTACCAAGAGTGGATTTCCGAGATCCATCAGCAAGCTTGTCGTGGTGCTTCTTCTTGTGCTTCTTACGTGACGATTCGTTGCCACTAGCTTCCGAAAGATTGGGAGATCCAGGCCGCTTTTTGCTCTTGGATTCCCCAGGCTTGTGGTTACCCGAGGGGGTGTTGGAGCCCTTGGTGGATGCACCGGAGGGAACATTGCCAGCTTCTGGGGCTTTGCCGTTCTGCTCAGCTGCCTTCTTTTCTGCCTCTTCCTTTGCTTGTTGTCGCTCAGCCTCAGAGTCTGTGTCTGACTCGCTCTCGGTAAGGTATGGGTTTTCAGGGTCGCTGTCGAGATAGTCATATTGTTTCTCGCGCTTGGCTAACGTCTTGCGCGTGATCTTCTCCATGGCTCTCGTCTCCTCAGCAGCCCTGCGCTCCTCTTCTTCCTTTTGCGCTATCAGTTGTTCGTCAGGACGATCCCAAAGGGCTGCTTGCAGTTGGTCACGCTTCAGCTTCTCTGCTGCTTCCTTGACGTCTTGCTCTTCACCCTCAAAGAGACCATTGAGTCCTTCTTCGTCGTCTGCGAAGTCTTCTTCAAGGTTGAAGTCAATATCATCGGCATCAGCTTCTCGTTTGACAAAGCCAATTGTATCATCGTCAAAACGCTCCCGCTTGATCCGGCCCTCGTCATCAGCACCACCACCCACACGCGTGCGCACTCCGCTGAACATCCTTGCCTCATCTTCAGCTTTCATACGCTGCGCTTGACGCCTCTCAAGCTCTGCAAAAAACTTAGGTCCGCCACTCTCGACCTTGGCCAAAATTTTGTCCACATCGTCGCTAGTCGGCTTGATCTTACCCTTGACATTGAATCTGTACCAACGCTCCATGGGTGCCATTTGTATAGCTGTATTTGGGTCACCAGGACGTGTGGCTGAGAGCATGACGTGTGTCTCTGACAGCTCCGATTCGTAGGTGCCTACCCATGTCTGCTTGTTTTCGTAGTCCTCCAAATGCCAGGGCAATGTCTCTTCGTACCGTAGCAGCTGCCGCTTCTTTGCTTCTGGAGTGTCGTCGGGTCGATACTTCTGCTCCGTTTTCTTGTGGAAGGCAGGAGGCTTCTTCATACCGGTAGGCGCGATCTTGGCCTGATTCTCCTCGCGTACTTTGCGTCGCTCTTCCTTCTGCTGCTCAATGCGCTCGCGCTCCTTTATCTCCTCCAAATCCTCCTTTGTATCCTCCTCTTCGTAGTGTGATCCGATACCACTAGGAGGCGCGCGGGGATCTCGACGGTGGAGCTTGATGGGTGGAGTGAACTGCTTCTCATCGGTAATATCAACATGGCTCTTGCTCTGGAGGCGCATAACGTGGTGTCGCAGCTCTTTCAGATCCTTGCGGCTCACAATGAGTGGAAAGACGGTGGCGCCTTGATCGACATACTCCTGCCGCAGCGCGTCTTTGGAATGCGTGCCATCAGCGGCCGGGCCTGGCGGGGGCTTCCTGGCCTCATTCATCTGCGACAAAGATACCATAGGTTTGGTGATGTTTTGCAAAGGGCGCCGGGGCTTTCGCAGGACATCAGCCTGGGGACGCGGGCGACGGCGACGAACAGGCATCTGCTGCTGCGGTGCCTGCGGTTGCTGCGACGGCTGCTGGCCATTCGAGGCAACGGGCGCGACGGGCGCTGCAGCAGGCGGCTGGCTTTCATTCATTGCGCCGTTCATTATTGAATTGTAGTTCTGAAGATGAGGACAAGAATGAAGGCAGCAGGTGGGCAGATAAAGATTGGCCGGAGACGAAGTTGCCTTTGTCCCAAGGAGCGTCGTGCTTCAAGGCCGAACCGCAGTTGGAACGTCACAGCTCCACGCTAGTTGTTTAGCGCGCCAAGCCCATCGCTCGCTGTGAAGCCCTGCCTCCGCCCTCCCAAACATAAAGTGAACACCATGACTAGCAATCGCCAAAATTATCATCCATTGCAACGACCAGTCTGCACTCTCTGCAGATAATAGGGACAGTCTCAGGACCACAATTTCCTAGGTACATGTGGATCACAAAGAAAGACATCGACTCCTCCCTCCACTCTAGGCACCCATCGAGCCAAAGTGTGGCTTTGACCAGAGGGCCGAGTGCCTGAAACGGTGAACGGCAGCCGCCGCCATAAGAAAATCCAAAGCGGGAGTTGATCTGCTGCGTCACCGGCTGCTTTCAAAGACACGCGAGAACACCATTGACCCCTTAAAAGTCATCTCGGTTCACTTTGCGCCTTTTGGACAGAAAAAACATCTGCTGTCGTGAGCAAACGCTCAGAAATTAGACCCAGCCATTATTTGAGTTTCCCGCAACGACTAGACTAACTTTACAGAATGGAGCAGGCGAATTCATCGCAGTTTACTGGGCTGGAAAGTCAGTTGCGCAACATGATACTTAGTAATGTGAGCATGTCTGGGCAAGTCACTCAAGATATTCAACCAGGTCGCGGCCGTGGGCGAGGACGGGGCCGGGGCAGAGGCAGAGGCAGAGGGCGTGGGAGCTTCCACAATGGCGCAGATGGCAACTACTATGGCCACTCTGCTCCAAATCAAGATCAGGGTCAAAGCCAAGGATGGCGCGCGAACCCCTCCGTAAATGGTTCTCTCCCCAGGGGAGGTGGACGAGGACACTACCCCAACCAACGGCATCAGCAGCCCCCAACAAATTCCCACAACACGCCACAAAATGACCTGGCCTCAGACAGCCAATCACATCTCTCAAGGCCGTTTGGACAACAATATCATCAGCAGTGGAACCAGAACGCAGATGGTATCCCGCGTGTGTACCCTTCAAGGGTTATGCAGCGACCACGAGGAGAAGCTCGTCCACAAGGTTCGTATATACATCATACACAAATGAATCAACCCCCGGAGAATCCACAAGCCCAGGTCAAACATCTAGATATGATCGCAGCAGAAGAGATCCCCAAGGTCGAGATGTCCAGGTCTGAGTTGGAGTCCAAAGAAGAATTCAGACGGCAGTTAGAGACGATCATGAAGGAAGCACTCGCCAGGGAATATTCAGGAGACATTGCAACAATCTCTCTCGTTGGTTTTGGCAGTCTCGCATCTGGCTTTGGGCTTCCCGGCTCAGACATGGACCTTGCAGTGATACCAGATTGGAAGGACCCCGCAAGAGCCCATGAAGTTGAAATTGATCGCTGTATTCCAAGGCTATTAGAACGAGCAGTTCTTGATTCAAAATTCGGTGGCAGGCTCCTCACACGAACGCGTGTGCCTATTTTGAAAATCTGCCAACATCCTACCGATAAACTGTACGCAGCTCTTACTGAGGAACGTGAGAAGTGGGACCAACTCCCTGAAGAAGAGAAGTTTCCCTCGGATCAGCCACAGGAACCACCGGTACAGGGTTCGGTGCCTCGATCGAAGCTATGGAAGCAGTCTGATGATGAATTAATGCTTACTGCTCGTAAGCTGTTCGAACCCTCTGATAATGACGAGATGATTGCTATTCGAAAGCTAATCAAGGATTCTGACGATGAGATAAAAGCTGCAGCCCAATTGGCGGTATCTTCTGATCCAGACTGGAAGGTTAACTGGGCAGAGTTGATAGAAAGAGCTCAAGCTCTGCGTGAGGCTCGAATGAAGACAGAGTCCCCCGAGTCTACACCTTCACAAACAGCTGCGAAGCCGGATGAATCTGCCAATGACAGCGCTGAGAATAAAGCTAAAAAGGTTCAAAACCAACGCTCCGATAAGTCTTGGACGCGGGAGAAGGTAGTCGGCCCCCTGGATTTCCCCAAGGATGGTTGCGGTATCCAGTGCGACATCAACTTTGCAAATCCACTCGGCATCCACAACACTCACATGCTCCGCTGTTACTCTCTGACCGATCCTCGCGTACGCCCCATAGTTCTCTTCGTAAAATCATGGGCCAAGCGTCGCAAAGTCAACAGTGCCTATTCTGGTACCCTCTCCTCATACGGATGGGTACTCATGGTCCTACACTACCTCGTCAACGTCGCCTCACCACCCGTATGTCCGAACCTCCAACACGCCGTCCCATTACCTACCGATGCGGCTGCTCTAGAACAATATTTCAAAAGCACCAAGATCTCCGGCTACGAAGTCCGCTTCTGGCGCAACGAAGAGGAAATCATCAAAGCAGCACAGGAAGGTCGTCTGACACAGAACACGCAATCAATCGGCGCCTTGCTACGCGGCTTCTTCCAATACTTCGCTGCGTTGTCCGGCTACGGTTACCCGAGACCACCTCAGTTCCACTGGACAAATGAAGTCCTTTCACTCCGCACACCCGGCGGTATCGTGTCGAAGCAGAGCAAAGGCTGGGTTAGCGCAACAACGAAGATTACGGCTGAGAAGAAGGTTACCAATCGGTACCTCTTTGCTATCGAGGATCCATTTGAGACTGATCACAATGTCGCGAGGACGGTGACGCATCGTGGCATCGTAGCTATCCGCGACGAGTTTCGCAGGGCGTGGAGGATCCTCAGGGTTATTGGCACGGAGAGAGAGCCTGAGGGAGGCCTTTTTGATGAGATTATTGAGGAGCCGGCTCCATCTGATATGAAGACTGAGGAGGTACCAAAAGGCACTGTGGAAGTTTAGGTGTTGGGGACGGGTCTGAACACAGCTGAAGTGTTGTAGTGTAAGAACAATTTCATTCGGAGGACGACATTGTGTGTCTTGTGGGTTTTCTGTACTGTTGTTTCGGTGGGTAGAAACGTGCTGACGTCACGGGATCTGCGAGATACATGTCTGGCTCGTGATTAACGCGCGTCCCTATATCACAAGCCATTCCATGACGTGAGTCGCATCTCCAATTACACCTCCTAAAAATCCTTTCCAACAGACTTATCAGAGTGCAGCCTGCAAGGGGCTACGCTGTGAATGAGACACGTGGTAATACCACGTACCTACTATAAGGACACCTAGTCACTAGAACTCCTTCGTAAGACGGAACTAACGAAAGAGTATAAAGTAGTAGCTGTCGTACAACAACCTTACTCTCCTTATCTTTCTTCTTCTGTAGTATAGGTTAATGCAAACTCGTTCGAAGGCCTCTTCAACCCTTAACAAATTGGGCAGGCCTAGGTAACAAAATTGTATTCGATAGAGAGCTAAGCTCCGGGTTACTTGGCTATCTATATACAAAGCTAGTTGCCTAAGCAACAATTGAGCCGGGTAGATAGGTAGGCAGGCATACGAAACGAAGTCGTAGACGAGTATGGGAGGTGAAGGGCGTTCAGGCTGTTACAGTAATCAACTTAGTATAGTTTATCTCTTACACAGATCGATACTATATTTTTTATCTCTTCGAAGAATTGATTATCTTTTAGTTACTCCTGACTCTTTTCTGGAGGAATCTCTAGCAATCACACGGACTACCGCGTTCAACTACCTCGCTCTAACCAGGACCGAGACTAGAGAAGTATAGTCCGAGCCCGTGTAACACAGTATAGAATTACCGTGACAATTGCTATCGTATATCAAGCACAGTAGCAATCACATCCGCCGTTAGGGTTCGCCCATGCTGACTGAAATTTCCCCGTGTCGCACTTTTCTAATATTAGCCACCCTTATAGTAAAATCTAGAATGACTATCCACAACTTACATATTCACATGCAGCGTCATCCCTACACCACGCAAGATCTTGTGGGTTGCAATTTCCCGGAGTCTATAGCTTGAATGAGTAATTTTTTACAGTGAAATCCTTAACACAGTAACTAATATAGATACCTACCCCCCATTTTGGGTCAGCAGAATAGCAATATTGATTATTTATCCAACCAGCTACTATAGTCGTAAAAAGAGGCATAATAATTACGCTAAAAAAGTACATTGTGACTATGTAGCTTAGTAGCTATAGATGGCTTAAGCTAAGAGAAAATGCCGCACGCTTTAGTTCGTGAGAAAGAGAAGATTGATTAATTATAAACTAAGTCGTCTGGTCTCCTTATATAGATGCTATCAGACAATATGTAGTTACTAAGTCGGTGAAATTACGATAGTGCTTACCGCAGTGAAGGGCGTAAGTCTTATGCAGTAGACACACTAGAATGATGATTAGGCTCTTCTTCGGATCATTTAATCATGAAAATACTGTGCTTATAGTATAGCTAAGACTCTATACAGTCTAGCTCCTACTCCACATCGTATAGTTCTGTCGATTACAATAGAGGTGAGACATTAAAAAAAGGGAATTGAGCACGGGTAAAGCGTAGCAAGAGCGATACGTAGGAGCTTACGTAACGATATATATTCAACAGAGACGAACAGCTACCAAGCTAAGATAGTGCTTACAGTGCTTATAGTGCTTATATCTACGGTAATAACTTAGATATGACCGAGGAGGACTACAAGGGGCTAGTGTAGTCTGAGGTGGCCCAAGGTGGTCTGTAAGGGGTCAGAGAAGGCTAGGTTCCGACAATGGACTGTATTTAGCAGGTATATTCTGCGATCTTCTTATCTAGTAAATGGATCGGCGTAGCGTATCGCACGATTTTACCCCTATATATTATACAATCCTGAGCATGTACTCTTGACGCAATAGGCTGATTCGTCGCCCTGAATACTGTAGTTCTATCCTTGTTGGCAATTGCGAGCTGTACTTATTAGCGATGTAATAAGAGTTCCCTTGACTTTTACTAGATAGTCTCTCGCTATAGACTGGCGACAAGGGGACAACGTCTGCGTAATTTTCGGGTGATAAAAGCTCAGAGGTGTAGAAGATGCTAAAGTATAGTGTTCTTGTATTAAGTTGTAAAAGTAGACACGCGCTGTAAGCTGCGGATGCTTTTAACCTTGATTGCCTTATATGTAGCTCGCTAGGGAGGGAGGCTCACATCACAGGGACGGACGTTATGATTGATGAATGGGATTTACGATGTCATGTTTACCTAGCTATCAATGTGAGGGAAAGAATATGGGGGGAATATACATAGATTTCTATGTACACATGTCCTAGATACAAACCCTCATCAACAGCTCTCCAGACATAAGTCACTCAACTCATTCCACACACAAACTCAAGATCCACACTCAGTAGTACTATTCAAATGTAACAGGGTATCATTGTACTCTTTAAAATCTTCTACGTTGTAGAAAGATCCCTCCACGAATAAACATCTCCTCCCTTAATGCCAAATCCTCTCTTTTTTTTCCCTTTTCCACACACACACCTATCCAAAAACAACAGATAAAACAGATAAATTGCCCCAGTCCCACTCATTTCTTCCCAATACTAAACCCCCTCGTCATAAAATCCGCACTATTCCCCGCCGCAGCCTTGTGCTCCTTGTTACTAAACAAGCTATTCACATTGTCATTCTGCGCCATCTTGCGCCTCTTATTCCTTTCTTCCTGCTCCTGCAGCACTTTTCGCGTTAGCGATGCAGTAGCGCTATTCTTGATACCGTCGCTCGTCACCGACACAGCTTTAGCCGTAGTTCCGTTTTCTTTAGATTTAGCCTTTTTATCTTCGTCAGAGGAAGAGGAGGGTTTGGTAGTGGCAGTGGTGGTTTGAGTATCGGAGGAGGTAGGACCATCGGCGGCAGCGTGCTTGCGCTTCTTTTTGCTGCCTGGGGCCTTCTTCAGCGTATGCGTGAGTCCCTTTTCCTTTAGCGTTTTCAAGCGCAAGTTCAGGCGTGCGATGTCGGTGGGTGCAGTGGGGAGGATGGGTACGATGTCGTTTTCGGCGTAGGGCTCGTTGCACTGGAGAGATGGGCGAAAAGGTTAGAACCATGTCGATATACGTACATGTTGGCAGGGGACAAAAAAACTTACAGTCAAACACGCCTTCTCTGATATCTCCTTCATAACGCTGCCGGCAAAGGCGTGGCCACAGGGTACTATGTACACGGCTTTACTTCCCACACCCAGTCGCTCCCCAGTAATTGGGCACTTCCACTTTTCACTCGCGCCAGATTCGGCTGCAGTGTCGATTTCGAATTTGACTTCGACGACGTCTTTGAGGCCCTTGACTCTGTCGCCAAACGTGCCTAGCTCGGAGTTCTTGACGCCTCCAATCTTCTTCATCTCGGCTTTTTCGACATCGCTGTCGTCTTTGAGGAGGTACTCGATGATGGAGTCTTTGTTGTAGAGGATCCCGGCTGCGTCGGATACCACGGGGCGGGCGAGCGGTTTGCGGGTAAGAGGGTCGGTGGACCAGGCGTATTCTTGTTGTTCGGTTTGCGCCTCTTTGATTTGAGCGGTTGTTAGGGCTTTTGCGGCTTCTTTGACGAGTTCGCGCCGTTTGGGGATGGATCCGCCGTCGTTACCCATAGTGGTTGGTTGTGCGCTGAATATCTGGGTGAAGAAGGTGTTGTTGTTGTGGAATAGTATGCTGGAAGTCTTGCGAGTGAGGCCGAGAGTTGCGGCCAAAGCCGCGGAGGTTTGAGTAGTTTTGGGACATGCACGTGCCCTCAACCGTACGATGCAATCTTCACGGACTACTGAACATCTTGTTTGATATCAATTATATGTAATCAGCCATGAAGAGTAATATGGTAATATTGTACAAATACTTTTGGATCATACTGTCGTTTAAAAACCTCATGAGTAGCATATTCTACATGTCTGTCGTAGCTGACGAGACTCTCATCTTTCGCCGTATCGGCCTCTCTATTTGTCCCATCCATTGCTTCTTCCACTCCGGTCTGTTATCTTCTGTCTCTCCCTCTTGAACCTCTCCTTGATCCGACTCTCCCTGAAGATTTTCAGGTGAAGCCTCTTCCTCGGATGCGGTCGTCTCCTCGACGTTCCTCTTTGATATGGAATGCCCATCCTTGAACAATATCCTCTGAATAAAAGCAGACAGCCGTGCTCGCTCAGCTTTGAACGGGGCCTTCATCTCCTCGGCAATCAGATTGCTAAACAGCAATTTGTCGTACACACCATGGATCTTCCTCAATGCCGTGATCGCATCTTGCCTCTCCTCGCCTTCCAAGTACTGAGGGCCAGCAACTTTCTTGTATCTCCTCTCTCTACCACCAACGCCCAACTGAAGCCGAATGTTCTTGGCGATGGGATCGAGAACAGTGAGTGCGTCCACCAAATCCGAGCCCTTGGCAAGAGGAAAGCTGGTTGCGAGCTCCGCATACATGGTGATGGTCTTCGGGTCTGCATCCTCCAAGGTCTTGAACATCATGTTTAGAATTTGACCGGCATGCTTGAGAGAGTTGTGGTTGTTCTTGTCACGAACACAGGCACTCATGGCGATTCTAAATGTGCCAGGTCGAGGCTCGATTTCCTTTCCAATCATATCTTCTTGTAACAATCGAACAGCATCAGCAGAAGCACGGTTCAGGCGAAGGTTCCGCAAGCGCATGTGTAGGTTGTTGCGATCTGGTACGATCTTGTAGGTCCTGGGGTCGGTCAAGAGATCCCAATACTCTTGTGCAGCCTTGGTTGCAACAATCTTCTGGCAAGCTTCCTGAATGATGGAGAGTGTATTGTTTCCCGGCCAGACATATACAAGGGAGTGCGGTAGGGCACCCTTGGGCTTCAGAGGAAGGAATTCGTCTCCACGCGCAGGAGTATTGTCTGGCGAAAGGTGCTCGTCGTCGACGCGGTACTGCGGTGGTACGTTCGGGGCTCGTAAGTGTGGGAAACCTGCTTTCTGTCGGTCCGCAGTGCCCAGTCGAGGTACAAGTCGTGGGATATCCATGGTCTGTTCCACCAGAGAAAGCACGTCATCCCAGTCTCGTGGTCGGCTGCCTACTAGCAGTAGTCTTCCCATTGCACAAACCAGTTCCTCGTCAATGACCAGATCAGCATTTCTCCACCTCCCAATGATATCTTCCCACATACGCCGTGCTTCTATGATGCCGCGCTCTTTCCTTGCCGCAGTTTCCACTTCGTTCTCCCCTTTCGGTGCGTTTATCAGCAAACTCTGTCGTATGGCATTGATAATGGTAATGTAGGTAATTGCGTTCGCCGACGCTGGTCCACTTTCAGCAATCTTCCCAGCAACGCCCCATAATGCATCCATGTCGCCTGCTCGCGCACAAACTTTCAAAGCAGCATTTGTGTGTATGATCGAAGGTTCGACTCGCGAGTTCGGCGCGGAGAGAGAGTGGTATATGGAAAGGGCATGACTAAGAGCACCTGATGTATGCGCGTTCAAAGACAAGCCTCGAAGCAAAATTGTATATGTATATGAATCAGGGAATTGTGCTCGTTTTTTCATCTGCTCAAAGTTAGCATTGCCCCACGCCGCTCATGTTCGCAAAACGGACATCGTTGTACACTCTCAGTGCATCCTTGATGCGCTCCTTGGCCAGAAGATGATCGATTATGTGGTTCCAGCTGACAATACATTGCATTGAGTGACTGGCCATGCGCACCAACTGCAGCATCTCCTCTACCCTGTCCTTGCCCAGTTCCTGCTTAACAAATGCCGCCAGGTCTAGCGGGTCCTGCAGATGCCGCAGCTCTCTCTTCCTTCTATTCCAATCGCTCTCTGACATGCGAGGGTCACGCCGGCCCAGTTTTGCCAAGTTGGGCGTCTCGTCGACTCTGCGCGCATGCGATTGTCGCAGTGCCAAGATTTCGGTTCTCTTTTGCTTTGCCGCAAAGGCCGACTTTTTGAAGTGATCTTCCCGATTTCTTGAGCGTCCTCTGGCCTCGCTCAGGTCAGTGGGTGTCTTGTCTTCCTGGCGTGCGACATTGCGGGTCGACAGCAGCCGCTGCTGGCTGTTTGCGAGAAGCGGATTCACATTGCGGCGCAGACGGTGCGCATTAGTGGTCGGGACATCGAGCGCCTGTATGCATCGCCAAAGGCACGCACGACAGTTCAGCATGAGGTCGTGGGTGGGGTGGAAGCGGGCCGTTGTGAGCAAAAAAGCGTAAATTGGCTGGACTAGGGAAAAGTTGACCATGTCCGGCACAAATGCCGAGCCAAACTCTAAGTATCCCGCACGTGATCATCCGACACGGCAAGCGGCCAATGACCCGAAACCTTGCGGAATCATACTGTATTGCAGCCTCGTGGCTACTAGCAGTATTACATGCATACAATCCACGGGCACCAGCGTCATTAGCACAAACGCCAGGTCTTTGCCGCCAGCTACGGCAGCGCGCCATCTTCAAAGGACCCATCAAGTTACACGCGCGGAAAAACAATCTTAGCCCCAAGCCGCCAAAACAAAAATAAAGGTACCGTGACCAAGCCTCACTATAAAGTAGCCGTAGGGAAAAAAACCACCAAAAGATCAAGCGTCGAAAAACCCACCAGTAAGGCTGAAAATAAAGAAAGAAAGCCCACACTACTGCTCAAGGTGGCACACCGAGTCTGCGGAGCCGAGAAAGGGGGGAAGGGGTGGAAGGGAACCAGCACTATAACGCGGGAAAGCCAACCCAGACCAGGGCCAACCACCACCATCGCAAGCTTTTTCTAGTAGGGCTTACGATCCTTTTGACCCTTTGCCCGCCCCCCGCGCGTGCGCCGCGCGCGGCCCCCCCCCAGCCCAGCCCAGGCTTCGTGAAACCCATCGGCGTGGGCAAGCGCGTGCGCGATGACAAAAGTAAATTAGAACTACGGTAGAAAGGAGGGAAGGGATTGTGTGGGAAAAGCTTTCCCCAAACGGACTTGGGATTCCCGTGTAAGCCTCCCCTACCGCCCCCCCCTACCCCCCGGACTAGCGCAATACACACGTATGTGAGTGTGAGCAGGTAAGCAAGTTAGTAGTACTTTCTCCATTAGAGAGAGAGAGAGAGAGCCTTTGTCCCCTGTCCAATCGTATTGTTTTTTGCCCTTAAACTACTTCTGAGTAGTAAGCCTTGTTTTGATGTACTTAGCTGGCATTGCCCATGCCTCACGTACTGTTAGTCTAACCATCTACATACCAATCCCGACATTTAGTCCCCTTTTCTTTACCCATCTGAACGGTAGGCATGTATGCAGATCATCAAGCATCGGAGATTTTTTCTTTAATGGCTCTCTATTTCTCTGTAGTAGTAGTAGGACCAAGACGGCAGAATTCGGAGATTTTTATTTCTCTCTTATTACTAGGACAACCATGTATGTGTAGTGAGCCTGGTCGTCGGCTGTTGCCGTGATACGAGGGCTGCGTGATTAGTTTTCTGTACTCTGAACATACATGGTAAGCTAGGCTCTTGATGGATATGTTCGACCGATGGTTGTTGTAGTTGTAGTCGTAGTCGTAGTAACACTAAATGTATTATAGCCATCAACTATAGGATGATGATGATGATGTACTGTTGTGCGTGTGTGAGGACATGAACGGTAGTAAATGTCGCCTATAGGAGCTGATCAGAGTGGAAACAAAAAATGTGTGGTGGTGCAGAGAGCAGAGAGGAGGGGAGAGAAGAGGAACAGAGCCAGAATCAGCAATCACCGCTCGTCATGTGGCCGGAAATCCCAAACAGTGGCATTACCAAGCCCTGCGCGGCTTGTACGTACGTAAGTAATGCTCACCTTTGTCCTGCTGGCCTCACCTCAGCATGCAAGACATCCGACCCTCGCACAGCGCCAGACGCACGCGCGCACGCCCACATCCACACACGCACACATACACCCTCGTCCCTCGTGGCATCGGGAAGGGAATCCTACGACCCAAAAACACTACTGCCGTGTAACGGCGCTTGATCTACCCACCATCCCTCAGACCAGCAGTAGCACCATAGCAAGCCCATGCAAGCCCATTTCTGCTAGTTGCCTTCTGTCAGTTCATGGCCTGGCGCACCGTTTATGTCCACCATGCCTGCCACTCAGCGCCTGGTGCTCCACTGCCTAGCTGAAAAAGCCGCCATCTCCAACGACGGCCCCCCTCTCTCCCACCCAAAAAGGAGCCTTCGTCGAGCCTAGCAACCGTCCGGGGCATTAAAATCGTAGTTTAATCGGGCAACGGTTGATGAGCCGCTAAAACGCGATCTTGCAGATGCAATTGTTTTGTAGATGCTAGCGTATCTCTCTCGTCGGATCCTGCACTTTTTACGTTCAGCTTTTGCTTTTGGCTTGCAATCTGACATTGCACAAAAACCTGTGTCTGTTTTTCTGGGGGGGTTGAAGGGATGGGGAGGTGGGGCGGGGCGGGTTAGGCAAAGGACAGGTAACAACACCAGGGGGTGTGTGAAAGGACGGACATGAAGGGGAACAGGTCGGCGACATTGTTCCTTTGTTGAGCCGGTCATCCCAGCTCGGCTTTGCAGATTCTTTCCTTCTTTCCCTCTGCCGTACTTTTGCCGTGTGATCGGCTTTCGGGCGATCTGGCCGTCATGAATCAAGTGCGTTCGGATGACATTGCCCAATGTGATCACCATCCGCCTGCTCATTCCAGCACGTCCTGCGGCGGGAGGCAAGAAAGAAGGAAAGAAAAAAGTGGTTAGCCGACAAGCCACTCCGCACCTCGATACAGATCGCACTGTGGTCGTTGCAATGACCCATGAGCACGGACAGAAAAATTGGGCCGGCGACTTGCTTCGATCCCATCGCTCTGGTCACGTCGACTGGTGCCACCGAGCGAACAATTGCATGAACGCACAAAAAAACGGGCCTCGGAAAGGTCGATTGTGTAATGGATATTGATTACACAGAGTAACAAAGCCGCACTTTGATTTCCGCGTCGGCGGGTGCCGTCATACTGCGAGCATGCATTCCTCGTCATCCTATCAGCCGTCAAGCCAATGCCAAGTATCGCAGCACACAGACACAGACACGCACACACACACACACACACACATTGTCTGTCTGTCTGTCTATCTGCTGCATGCTCCACAGCGCCGAGGACTCGCCAACCGTGGCCGATATTTCGCATACCGATGGTTGGCATACGTATTGTTGGCGAGCATTTTTAATCTATCTGCAGGATAGACAGGCGAATGTGCAGCGCCTCGGTGTATGAAAAGGCAAGATAACGCATCACCCACAACACTGTCATTACGCGCCTTCCTGATTTGGCGAGTCCCATGGGTTTTCCATCTCGGTCGCCGGCAACCCATGTTTACCGAACATGTGTGCGTGCGTGTAGGTGTGCGGGTATAATATGGAATACTCTCTTGTATGCATGGGTCAGCCCCCAGAATCCCGAATCCGAGTCATTGCCGCCCCTCCTCCATCATATCATGCTTCAGCTGTGCGTCATACCTAGGGCAAATACGGTGTACTACGCGCACAGCACACACCCTCAACTGACACGCCCATACGTACGCACACGCACACCTTGCACCCAACCTCTCCTCCGCCCCAGTCGGAAGATCGTGCCACAAACGCCATGTTTTCAAACAAAGCATTTTTTTCCTTTGCAAAGGAACGAGATGCCGAGCTTGATTGGGTCATTGCGCAACGCCCACCCGCCCCAGGCAAAGAAAATGACACCATTCTCTGCCCCTTGTACCCTTGCTCAGCAAATCAGGTCCGCGGGAAATATGTGCATTGAGAAAATGCAACCAAAAGCGAAAATGGCATTGACGTGCTTCACAAGTCGTATGACTTTAATTATTCTGCTCGTAAAGTTTGTTTTTTTCTCTCTCGTAAACGGTCCTGTCTAGACGATAAAAATAATCTGATAACGGTGACCATTGTAGACTACAGTCTGACAAAGAGAAATGCAGTTATGCTCGTGTTCTCCCTCTCTTTCCCTGTCAAACCTTATTTCCTTACTAAGAAGGACACAAGAAAGAGGAGAGGCGAGAAAAAGAGAATGCGAGCAAAGGAAAGGGTGTCTGTTCAATCGAATCAAGAGTAACAAAGAGGGTGGTCTGATTTCATCGGTCAGTGAAAGGTAAGGTGACTTCAACGTATTTCGCTTCGAGACCGCCGGCGAAATGCTCGGGCAGTCAAAACAAAAAGATAGGCGAGAGAGGAGGGGGGGATTGCGAGGGGCTGGTATTCCTTCCCCTTGCAGCTCAAAGGCTAAGCGTCGGTAAGCAAAAAAGTAAAAATAGGAAAAGAAGGGGACAAGGTGTGCCATGGCGACAGCTGCACATACGTGGCAAGGTGCGCAAAGCAGAGCGGAAGAGAGAAAAGAGAATGGTGCAAGGACAGGTAGCTCGTAAGCATGCAAGTGATGTGGTGGTTGAAGCGGACAAGGGAGGGGTGCATAGTCCGATGATGGTGGCGATCTACGCCGTGGCCTATAAGACAAGGATGAGGGGTTGTGAGGAGCGAGGAGAGGGAGTGCGAGAGAGGCGTGAGGGAGTGAGCCAGCAAGCGAATGTGCAGGCCATGCATGCATATTCAGCCGAGAGATTTCGGCGAGCAGGGGCGAGGGGGGGGGGCAGACTGACTCTATTCCTTCCCTTTTAAGCGTCAAACCTTGATTGTCAAGACGGAAATCATAAACACGCGCGGGCATACCCGGTCAGACATCTAGATTTTAGTCTTACACAGCAACACGCTCGGTCGGGCCTATACTTCGTCTGCTGCTTGCATAAAAAAACAGGTGTCTGTATCTATGCGCATTCGTTTCGACGCCGACTAGGGGGTTGGTGGAGGGGGTGAGGGGCAGAGAGACATGCGTATCATTGTTTTGAAACCAAACCGGGCCTATCTGGCCTGGGCTTCGGATAACTGAGAGGGGAAGATTGCGTGGTGATGAGCAGACTGGGTCACGGCAGCGCGACTGCTGCCATGGGTTGCTCTGCTGATTTGCTTCACAATAAGCTCCAATGACTGAGAGCGTATGACTCGATGAGCTCGACTTTCGTTCGTTCCACGTTGCTTGTACGAGGAACACAAAAGCGGCACACAAGTCGCCAAAGAAGCCGGCACTGTGTATGTGTGTGCATTTGTGAAGTGAGCACTGCAACAGAGGACACAAAAGAATAAGGTGCCAGACTATCATTGCAATTGGAATTTGGATTGGTCAATTGTTTCTGTTTCGAGCGCCGGTTCGCATGCAATTGTTCTAGCCCGTAATGATGAAAGTCTGAAGGAAAAAAAAAAAGCCAGGAAAATTTTGGAAAAATCTCGTCACCGAGATGCGCAAAAAGATATGATCAAAGAAGAAAGTATAACCGTGCCATGCATGCCGCCCAAAAGGGCCCTTCGTCATGGCATGACACACAAGACGACCTTGGAGCCATAACTAACTCTTTACGCAAATATCTGTACTTTGGCCGTAGCCATGCTGCGCGCATCATGGTTCGTTGAATCTCCCTCATAAACACCCATAAAGCAGAAAAACATACAGCCGCCGCCAAGTGAAAATGCAAGCACCGCCAGAGAAAGATGCTGTGACTGTCGCGTGAAGCCGCAGCACGGTCGCGAAAAACATCCACCAAAAGGAGAGTCGTCAATACACTCGCGTGAGTAGCCGAGAAAGAGCGAAATGACCTTTAATGTACCGTCGTGTAAAGGTTGGATTCGATTGAGTCGCGTTTTTCGCCGATTGTCAGACCAGGTTTAATGGTTCTGTTGGTACATTTGAGGGTTCTGTCCATAGGGCGATTGTGGATAACTGCTGCTGTTACTATTGGGACTGTTGTACGCATTGCTGTTGGGGGTGGCATACTGAGCCATTCCCTCCGGAAGACCGGGGCTTTGGGTGCCGTACTGAGGAGCAGCCGTGTTGCCAGAGGCGGCAGGCTGATACCCGATAGGAGGGAGTTGAGGATGTTGGGGCGCTTGCCCAGGGACACCAACTGACTGTCGCATCTGTCCGTAGACGGGAGCTTCGGGGGCACCGCCCTCGTGGGCGCGCTGTTGCGCGTCGGCACGGTGTCGCTCCTCGTCAGCCTTGCGGGCGGCCTCTTCCTCCTTCTTCTTGGCCTTCCACTCCTTGCGAATTTCCTTGAATTCTGTTAAGGTTCAATTAGCATCTATATCAAACTTATGTTATTGTGCCAAGAAAGCAAGGCGCAAGGATCGATACTTGTTAGCTTCAGTGGTCAGAAGCTACCAGTGTGGGGGGAACGCGACCACTATGGCGCTGCGCCAGCACGATCCCAGGTGCTAACTTAGCGCACTAGCCTTGCAAGGGCCACCACCACCACTACCACAACAACAATCGTGACGTGTTTGACCAGCGAAAATGGAGTAGGGAGAAGAAAAAAAAAGCACTCACCTTCTGGTGTTCGTTTTGAGCCATGAGATTGCATGGTAACGTGGGCGTTCAAGTGGTTCAGAGTACCATAAGCCTTCTCGCACCCGTTCCAGCCGCACTTGTACATGCGCTCGATTTCCTCATATCGGCGGCGTGGTCGCTTGTGTTGCTGTGCGCCAGGAATGGGAACAAATGAGTAGACTGTAGACAAGGGGTGTCCGCCCTATGCGCGCGCACACTGTCAGTATTGAAGCCTGCATTGAGATGGGGGGAAACATGGGATAAAACGACTTACAGTTGGTGGTCGCTGAACGGGAGAAACCATTGCAGGCGCCGGGGGACCTGAAGAGGCGGGATGACCGTAGTGCATGCCTGGCTGAGGGTAATGGCCAGCCCATTCAGGGCGCGATGGGTAGCCCATGGGTGTTTGGGGTTGACCCGGGTAGTGCTGCATGTCGTGGTGGGGTGTGTAGGGAGAGTATTGCTGTTGGTGACTGGCGTAAGTCGGGCTCGTCTGGGCGGCGATTGATGGATCTATAGGTACATCCGAGTCAGACTTGAGTTGCTGTGGTGATTGATGGCCATTTGCTTGACCATCTGGGATAGGCATTGACGGACTCTGTTGTTGCGCCATACCACCGGGGGCTTGCCCTTGAGCAGCTGGTTGATACGAACGCTGAATGTATTCGGGGAATGAGCCTGATCGAGCAGACGAAGGATTCAGACTGTAGTCTGAGCTGGGCGTGAGGTTGGAAGAGCGAGGATCTTGTCCTTGGGGAGGGTATTGCGCAGCAGATGCTTGATCTGCAGAGGTTCCCTCAGAAACTGGTTCAGGAAAGGTTGGGTAGGGCGAGCTCAAACCTGACTGCGGGTAGTCTGCTTGTCGTGCGTCCATAGACTGTGAAGGGTCAAGAGTCGAAGATAGCTTGGACGGACTCTAAGCTGAGGTTGGATGGTTGATGCGTGCGCCCACAGGGAGGAATGGCTGCAGAGATATGTCCGTCGCGAACCGTCTTCGGATGATTTGCCGCGGTCTGTGGAAGACAGGCAGCTAGAGCGTATAAAGACGTAGCCTGGGTTCGGCCAAGAGATGCACAGCCAAAAAACCGGAGAAGCGAAGTGAGCAGGCCGTGGGTAGCGTGGAAGTTAAACGCGGATGATTTGCAGACGGTGTGTTTTCCACGACGCCCAGGTGGAGGGACAAGCAGTTCGGCAAATATGCGCCGTCGAAAAGAGATGCACGGAAGGCGCAAGGTCGAAGGCACCAGGACAGGGGAGGTAGCTAGCGGACAGAGATCTCTCGAATCGCGGAGCAGCTGGCGCGATGCAGAGTGAAGTGCAACGCAAAGGTTACACAATTGGTGCTAGTGAAAGGACGAGCTTGCACTGCGGGTCTGCTGGGGCGAGAGTGAATTTGGAACACAGCTAGTGAGAGCGCGGCCTAAAGGCTTTTAGACTCAGTGGCGTGCGCGTGGAGGGTGAGGGCCAATCGAGGGGCGTGGAAGAAATGGCGGCTTGCCCAGCAGGCCTTAGCACACTCGATGAGGTAATTCGCGCCCGTCAAGGCAGTGACAGGGATGCGGTGCTAGTCGGTAAAGCCGAGCCGTAACAGTGGGAATGACTGCTGCTGCGGGTGGAGCGGCTAGCACGAGGAGGGGATGGCGCGGCGAGCAGAGTGTGGGACGCAGGCCAGCGTGAGGGTGGGCTTCTGGTGCGCGAGGGGGGGCGTGCAGGTCCGTGGTTGGAGTGCGCTAGTGACGAAGAAACCAGGGTTGGGTTGGGCCTGTTGGCCGAGGGGCGCGCAGGCGGCTACCAAAGAGGTCGCTCTGGATGCGCGTCGCTGACTGGCTCCGCGCGCGGCGATGGGGCAAAGGCGAGAGTCGGCCCGTTGTGGTAACGATGACTGAAGGTTTCGCACACACTGTGGCTCTCTCCCAGTCGCTGCGTGTCCCAGAATGCTCAACTGCGCCGAGCGTGCCGAGCGATCAGCCTCCTGTCGCGGCGTTCGGTGCGGATTTGGCACGCACAACGAGCGTGGCAGGGGAGGAGGGCAGGGAAGCGTGCGTCGGCGAGTGGCGGCGAACGGCGGCGACGAGAGCAGCAGCAGCAGAAGAAGAAGAAGAGAGAGGTCGGGGGCAAGTCTGCTTTGGAGGGGTCTCGTGGGTTAAGAGACTGGGGTGGGGTGTGCAGTTTGCAGTGCAGCGGCGTGCAGTGAGTGCAGCGCAAGGCAGAGCAGAGCAGAGCAGCGCAGCGCAGCGCAGAGCAGTGCAGCACAGCCAGAGTGCGGCAGCGACAAACAGTGGAGCGTGGAGCGCCTTAGTGACGAACGCGCCGGGTGGGCGGCGATCGCGTTGCTTGGTGGCAGTTGCACGTGTAGTCGCACTGCGGGTGCGCGATCTGGTATGCTTAGGATGGCCTGGGGCCTGGGGGTGGAAGGGGGGAAGGGGGGTAAGGGTGACGGCAGCGTCGGGGCAAGGCGCTGGCTGGTACCAGGCACTGCTTGCTTGGGTTGGTGGTGGTAGTGGTGGTTGAGCAGGTCAGATTCGCGACGTAGGCTAGAGAGGGTGCTAACACAGAAGATGGTTAGGCGACAAGAAGGGGAGCGGCACTAGCGAGAAAAATAGTCCGACACGCCCTCGTTCCGTGCACCTGCTGACTAACCCGCGTCCTGACGTATTGACCGCCCTTTGCTCGCCGTTTTGTTCTCGCTGCGCCAGGGAGCCGAGGATGGCGGTGCCTTCACGCCGGTCGCGTGCGTGTGCGGGTGTGCGTGAGTGCGCGTGCGTGCATCCACCCAGCATCCCCCCATCCAGCAGCCCGCCCTTCCTGGGATACGTACGCATCCATTCCGGCCTGCCTGCCTGCCTGCCTGCCTGCCTGCCTGCCTGCCTGCTGCCCGTGTGTCGCCGTCCACACGAGGCGGAGGTGCAAAGAAGAATGCAGCCATGGCATGAGGCTGAGAGCTAGTTCTGCGCGCTAGACGCGGCAAACCCACGCTCGAGGGACCTCGGGCCACAGTACTACCTACATGGCATGCACTTGCCGCTTAGCCCATATACATACTACATACATGCCTACTAGTATACTAAGTACACATGTACACCACCGACCTCGTCTGCAGCACGCCCATGCCCAAACGCAAAAAAACCGCCCCCGGCTGCACACAATCTGCAATCACCGCGTCGACAATCTTCACCACCCGGCCAGCGGGCTTCTGCGGGCCCCCCGGCAAGAGCGGCCTGCAAAACGACTGCATGCAAATATTGGACATGGCACAGACCTCGCCCGCCGGCACGACTGGCCCAATGCGTCCATGAGAGCGAATCCCGACCGTACTGCACCGCACCGCACATGCCTCTGGTCTGCCGTGTGGGTGGGTGGGTGTGAGTGGGTGTGTGAGTGAGTGAGTGCGAGTGTGTGTGTGTGTGTGTGTGTGCGTGTGTGTGCCAAAAGGCGAAAAGCAACCTGCAACGTCCGGCAGAAGGATGCCACAAGACGTTGAGATCTCCTCGGGCCTCGCAGTCTCGCCGCCTCTCTCTACCTACCTACCTTTGCCTATACACCCTATACCCTACATACACCTCCTCACCTCCACCTGACTCTGACCGACTAGGTACTTACCTGCCCCATCCACTGACGCAAGGCCCGACTGCCCGTGCCCTGGTGGCCGCGCCCGGCATCATAGCTACGGCATCTCACATGTCCAGATCCACTAACCCATCCTCGACCCTCCAGATGTCGCATGGGCCGTCCTGCCCTCGCCTCAAACCCCCGCTTTCGCCTTCGCAAACTTCAGCATACCGCTGTCGCATCGTGATTTTCTCCTTGTGCATCCTCCGTCCATGCCGGTTTTGCTGTCAGCAGACAAGAATCTGCTGCATCTGGCCCCCACCCTCTGACAACTCCGCAAACCTTGCTGTTTTTGCCTGCCACTGCATCTCCTGCTTCTCTGCTGCTGCTTCGGCCGCCATGCCTGCAAAAACTACCCTGCTATTTCGCTTCGGGTCTCGATACCATGCCTTGCTGCTGTCATTCCCTCTTGAGATGAACGTCCCTGCTGCCTTGGCGGCCCCCAAGCCACATTCCATGTCACCGCACTCGTGTGAGTGGCATTTGTACGCATCTAGATATTCAACGGCTGAACGGTACATCTGGTGCCATTGCCTAGCCACGATCATCCGAAGCCCACCTGGCCCGGTTGCCAACATCCGAGAGCACCCAGGCCAACCACCCCCCTTTGCCTGCCTATGACATTCGCCTGAATGCACTTCGAGTGTTGTCGTCATAGATGGCTTTGTGCTGTGCAAGCAGGACGTGACAATACCCACCCTCTCTCTGCACCTGTTGAGCAGAAGCAACATGAGGGAAGCTCGTCGGGATGGCTGTCATGTGATTGGCCGTCCAGTACCAAGACTGATCGGACCCAGGATGAATACGAATAGATGCCACTAACTATTTGCACATGCGCCGTCGAACGGGAGCGGGCGGTAACCTCGATCATAACGCGAACACCACGCCGCCATTAGACTATCTCAACTTCATGTCTACACTTCACACTCTATGTCCACGCATGAAATACACTGCACATAGCCATTCGCCCAAGCAAGTCGCGCCTGTGATGCCAGCCGCAGACCAGCATCATGGCACCTTGCGAGTATCGGCTGCACCCATGGCCGGATCTGCGGGCAAAAATACGTCCTGACGAGACACGCATGGTCTTGTCAACAATTTCTGTCTTGTGTATGAATTGATGACATACATGAAGAGGGGGTCCGTGGGTCGCGAGTCAGGCCGACGTATCACAGCAATGAGAATTGAAAGAATAATATCACCCCCCAGCCATTGCCATGTCAAAAACGTTTTTGAGTAAAAAAAAAAAACTAGGGCTTGGCCGAGAGGATGCATTTCCAGGGCTCACGGCGGCTAAACTGTGGCAGTCTGATGTCCAGGAACGCTCTGCTGGTGCAAGTCAAGCGAGCGAGTGACACTGACAGGGGCCGCCCCCTGCGCGCAGAACCAAACATGGCCTGTGGCTTTTTTTCTAAGGATCGGTGGCATTAGGTCGAGTTGGACCGAGCGATGCCTCGTGGCGGAGATATGCACGGAGTTTTCCCTGGAAGAAGCGGAAGCGCGCACCTTTGGTCATGGCGTGTCGGAGGCGGCTGGTGGAGGCGCGGAGTTTACCAGACCATAGGTGTCACGATGCGGGCGCTACCATGGCCGATTTGGAGGCCGACCTTGGACAACTTGGTAAACATCCAGACATGGTCACTGCTGCACGCCGACGCACACACGCATCACCTGTACAAGTCCGAGATTATTCGCTTCGCTCGTAATAGACTACGCGGCATGGCGCAGCCAGCGGGCTACCTTCCGCCGATAGAATGAGGAAGCGACTGCGGTGCGCACGCATGCAGCGCGTTGCAAACATGGAACATGGAACATGGGGGCCAGATGCCCTCTACCCTGCTTTGAACCCTCGACTGTGCATTCTTCCTCCACTAGAAGCCCGAATCACACTATCCTTGCCGTATTGGACATGGGGCCATGGCATTGAACTGTAAGCAAAGTAGGTGTCTATTGGAATGCTGCTCGACGGCGCTGGGAGGCCAGATGGGCGGCGAACCTTGGGTACAGGGCTGTATGTACTGCGCGTCCTTACTTACATGGCCAACGTCGACGGCCTAGACGCCCAGCTGCACATAATGTAGAAAACCACCATGGCATGTACAGACGCACGTCAGCGCTTAGTCGCATACTGCCATTATCAGAATCGCCATGCCCATGACCCTCATCATCATCATCATCATCATCATCATCATCATTACCGTCGTCATCTTCTAATACATACGACGTCGTATTAATCGGGCGTGCCGGATGGAAATGAAATGCATTGTGTGCAACGTCGGAGTAGGTTCCGGGCCACGCCATTACCACAACATGTTCCATTGACCTTCCTCGTTTGGTCGGCTGCAGCAGGAGAGAAACACGCAGGAGCAGCAGCAGTAGCAGCAGCAGTATCATCGCGACTTCCTCCTCACAGCCACCCCAGTCACCACAAACAACCACGTCACCAAAGGCGTGGCCACAGACACGTGCTCAGCAATTCCACGGTACTGGGCCAACATTGCCTGTCTTGCTCGTCTTCCTCTACCTCAACCACTTGTATCATCTTCGGTCATGACATAGTCTCGCATACACTCGCCCACTTATCCGAGAGGGTCCAATGCCTCTGGCCGTCCTATCCGATACACCAACAGTAGGCCGTGGAGTCGAGTCCAAGCCCAAGTCCTGTGTACCCCGCGAAGCCACCCTTTGCACCCCTCCCTCTCCTCTTGTCTAAACACACGCACCATTTCACCTACGACGTCGCTGACAAATAAACCACTGTACAGGGCCTGTATGCGTGTGTGTGTGTGTGTGTGCGCGTATGTGCGCGAGCCCTCGCAAAGAGCGTCCAGAACGACCGAAGAATGGCCGACGTTGCAGCTTGCAGATCCCTTTGGGGCGAGCTTGGCCTGCGCGCTGTCTTTGGCCCAATCCCTGTCGTCGCCTGCTACATTGGCTGCAAGCCTCTTTCGCCTGGCCCCTCCTTGTCCTTTCCAGCCATGACTGTGCAGCACTAGTGCATCTGAATCTTCACTCACCGGCTTCATGACCATCTGCCTGTCCTGAACAGTGTGTGAATTGCCTCATTTTATTTCCCACACAAAACCTTCCATGTTGAATCCAAGTGAAACACGAAACAGCCCTCATGGGAAGGACCACCAGGTTGCTCGATCACAGTAGCCACGCGATTCACCCTGCACTCTAGATTTACAACGTCACATTTGACCCTCGAATATCCGGTTGAGTCGTGTGCAACAGCTTCTGTCGGCTATCCACAGTTCCCAACACATGGAAATTGTCCCCTCGCCCCGCCGGCGAAAATCGATAAAGCTTGTTATGTTTTAGTTTACACAATCGCAAGATGAAACGGCTTTCAGTGGCCACCTCGATCCCACCGATTGATGGCGCGAACCTAGCGCTCGACCGTGGTAACTTGGGTCCAGGTCGACAAGCAGGACGCACCTCTGAACACGAGGCCCCATATTGCCTGGTCACCTGTCAACCAACCGCACCCAGTGCAGCTCAGGTATGCGGAGTGCATGACAAGACAACATTGAGCTGCACCACAAAGTCCTTGTCCTGGTTGACACGCGTCATTTCTCCTGAAATCGATTCCAAAGCAACAGTCTCGGAAATGGCCGCAGCAAAAATCCAGACTTTAGCTCTGGTGGTTCGGATTACACACTCCCGGCCCCAGCGCTGCAGATCGCACGTGTAAGTTCATTGACCCCGTATACAGAAACGCACGGCATAGATCTGGACATGGTGTCTAGATCTGATGCCAAACTTGACCATTCTAACAACTCGCCTCGAACACATGACTGTGGCCAGGGTGATACCTTTGGTACCGAGCTTGGATGTACGCTGCCGTCATTGACCACGAATGCTTGTCGACAACCGGACTGGCTTCCGTTGACTGCCCCATGGGACAAGGCCGACGCACCTACCAAATACGACAGATGGGTCGATTGCTGGCTACACCTGCAGCACCTGCAGCACTCAGCATGGCAAAGCTACAGGGATACAGTTTATTTGTTTGGTATTGTCAAAAAAACGGTTGAGAGAGTTCCAGACCATGGTCACGTAGTGGTTGATCCAGAGGCCAAGCATGCAAATCATCTACTGCAGGTTGACAATTAGACCGATCCCGCTACTGCACGACACCACACGCTGATCAACGTGTCTTCTCACGCGGATAACACCTGTACACGCTTTTCCAGGATCAGGTTCCATGTTCAAAGACAATGTCAACTCACATGACGCTCCTCGCCCTGGCGATACTCATCTACCTACGCCGACAAATATGACCAATTACTTTGTCTACGTGTAGACGAGTCTCCCGCTCCATGGGTCTCATAGCGTCTGCGCCATCTCACTATCGCCCCCCGATCCGCGGGCCTCCCTTCCCCCTCCCCCAGCCATTGTCCAGATATCCGGTATTCTTCGGACCTTTCCTAGTCTATACTTTATCTCGACTCTGATCAGAGTTGCCATCTTGCCCAGTCGGGCTATCAGAAGCCAAGGAGAGTAAAAAAATGTCTCACTTTTCTCATGTGTGCATTGCGTCCGCTAGCAACCCTGCCATGATCCTGCTCCATGCGCCCTATTGCAATCTCCGGGGTTTCATTGCATATGCTGCAATTTCATTGTCCTTACTTGGAAAGGTGTATGAATATCATTTCTCACCGACATTTTGATTACTTTTGTCCGCGGAGATGTGGTAAGGTCGCCCTTTCTGTTCATGGGCATTATTCATCCCCTCGGCCCCTATTTGGTATATTCCAAGAGAATGTGAGTGCTTCTTCTGCAGCTCCCGCGGAACAATTCTGCTATGCAGTCATTATGTCAGGATGATTTGCTATTACAGGCAGTCTGGTGAGAATGTGATGCTTTGTGTGATGCATATTACTTTGCGAAGACGAGCTAACCTACAGTGATACTTGTTGGGGAGAGCAGTGGGAAACACACATGTTATCAATAAATACAATAGTAACTCGTATCTTGCATTCTGGCTTTATTCGTGAAATGTAAACATGACTTTGGTGTCCTAACTACCATCACGACGACGCAGGTGATTATCGTTATAACACTTCCCTTGTTCTAACTGTATTGGACAATTTATCTTCTCCTTCGAGTATGTGTTTTCTCGACACGTTAGAATAAAATCTCTACGTATTTCATCATAAAATCGAAGGTCACCTGCTCACCTTGAACACTACCCACCCTCTCACCCTTTTCTTCTCTTCCATCCCACATTGCATTCAAACACTCCCCCATACACCCACATTCAAGTTTTTTTTTTTTTTTTTAAAAAAAAAGGAAGACAGCAACCCCTCATTTCTCCACCTCCACAAGAAACTCTCCCCTTTCACACCCCCCTCACCCGTCTTATACGCATACTCAACCCCCCATAAGATCTTCCCACCACTCTTCTCTTATCCCATTCAAACCCCCCACAAACTCGCATCCTAAGCAAGTTGAACAAAAAAAATTCACTCACACTTTTCCCTGTTCTTTCCCTTACTTCCCCCCACTCTCTCCCTCATAGGTACTTGTAAATACAACATACATATGTACAACTATACACACAATGTCCTATCGTTTATAACTCACTGGTCCACACACACACACACACACACACACACACACACACACACACATGATTCTACTACCTCTTTTAAAACACTTCTTCACCCTACACATACCTAAACCCCGCTATTCCCTTTACCCCCTCTTATGATCGGTAAAGCGAGTTCTGCGTGGAAAAAAAAAACACGGAGAGAGATAGAGGGAAAGATGGGAAATAGGAAGGCAAGAATGTCAGTCGTAGGAGAGATGTATGTGTGTGTGTGTGTGATTAGATAGTGTTAACATCTAGAAGGGAGACACACACACACAGAGAGAGAGAGAAAGCTAATATATGTACGAACAAAATGACTTGCCGCCCCCCCAAAAAAATAGCAGAGCAAGCTTTATTGACACGTGGCAGTTCTAAATGAGAGATGCCCAAGTTGAACGTAGTGACGAATTTAAATTTCCATCTACGCGTCTTCATTCTTCTTCTTTACTAGAAAAAAAAGAACAAAACAAACGAAATACGTATTGTTATTCGCAATGTTTGTTAATTGCTGCTTTTCCATTATCCATGTGTATTGTATCTTTATCAAAGAGAACAGAGAGGTAGATTTTATTTGTAGACACAAGGTAATAATCTAGATGTTATTCCCTAGCAGAGTATTTTTTTTAAAGGAAAAAAAAAGAAAAGAAGGGGGAAAATACGGAAAACTTAATATCAACTACACAAGGTTATGGGCCAAGGAATAGCGGACAGAACAACGATTAAGTTTTATGGAAGAAACAGGATGACCAGAATAGCTTCAACTTGTGAAAGCAGCTTATTCAAGATTCAAAGGGACCATAACATAACACACTCAAATTATAGTCCACTCGCAACGTATTTCATCATAGCACAACGAGGCAGCAAACCATAATTGTCATAGACATAATGCATTCTATCTTGACTATTACCTGATGAAACTTTTCTTTTTTTCTGAACATAAACGCCGGCGTCACAATGCAACGTGACCAAATGACTGCGGACAGCTGCGACATACATGCAGCTATCATCAACAAGGAAACCTATACCAGTCTAATATGCAGGAGAACTGTTCTGCCAAGCTGACATCACAGCCCTGTCCTTGGGGTATCAGCGTACGACAGAGCCTGAGAACGTGCAGCGGCTTTCAGCCGCACTTGGAAAAGGGATGGAAACATGGCAAGTCCGAAATGACGACCTCCAACGCCAAACAAGGATTGAAATCGATGCTCATCGTTCTGATGGCGTGACAAGCGAGCGCCGTCGACAGCATATTTACCAGCGGCTGTTGCGAACGGGATCACCGTTACCTCCAGTCCAGCCTAATGTAACTAGTTAGAGTCTGTTTATTGTTACAAGGGCTAACAAGACTTACCACCACGACCACCGCCGCGGCCTCCTCCACGGCCACGGCCACCTCCCCAGCGGCCACCACCGCCGCCACCGCCGTAGCGGGCCATCTCATAAAGACGGGGGTCAATCTGCTGCTTGGACTCTGTAAGAATTTGGACGAGGTCACGAGCTTGCTTGGAGTCTAAGTCGTTGTTAGCAATTGACCAACAGCAATGGACATGAATATACATACTCTCTGTAGTGAAAAGTGTGATGGCAGTTCCGTTAGCGCCAGCACGACCAGTACGACCAATGCGGTGGACATAGTCCTCCGAGTTGTTCGGGTAGTCATAGTTGAACACGTGAGTAATGTTGCGAACATCTTTGAAAGCAAAGGTTAGTCTATGATAAAAAACAGAGCGGACGACGATCATGATTGGATCGCGTGAAGCTGCAGTATGTTGCATGCAACCGTCTCTGTGCGCTA